CGGGCCCGCTGATCTCCTCCCCCCTGGCTCCGACAATCTCCTCCGCCGCTGCTGTCACTGTCAATCTCCTCTCCCTCCCCCGCTCCTGCGGCGAGGCCTGAGCGACTTCCAACCGCTGGCCCGCCGCAGAGTTCCTAGAGCGTTCCCCGGCTCTGGCGATCTCCTCCTCCGGGCCCGCTGATCTCCTCCCCCCTGGCTCCGACAATCTCCTCCGCCGCTGCTGTCACTGTCAATCTCCTCTCCCTCCCCCGCTCCTGCGGCGAGGCCTGAGCGACTTCCAACCGCTGGCCCGCCGCAGAGTTCCTAGAGCGTTCCCTGTGCATGTGCAGGAAACACTCTTTTACTTTTTTTCAACTTTTTAGATTTTTGTGCACACCTGGGGACTGCCCCAGGTGTGCAGGAAAATCTCCCTGCCCCCCAGGTGCCCCTGATGTGCGGGTTTAGATATCCACACACAGGAGGCGCCTTCGCTATTATATAGATTGTCAAATACAAAGGGTTACAGTTTAGAAAACAACTCATTAATTGTGAATGTCAAAAAGAGAAGAATTTTGAGTTAGAAGTATATATGAAAATTATAAAATATTTGGTTGGAAATCTTTCCATTTAATTTGTTTTAGCTCTAGATTTTTCTTCAGTGAGATTGATTATTCTTTTGGATACTATATGATGTTCTTTGTGTGCATGTTAGGCTTACAATCATACTTTTGATTTTATAAGCTTTTGCTGAATGGAAAGAAATATTATTTATTAAAATATTTTATACTGCGTTTTGATCAGAATAGATCAATATATTAGCCAGATGCAGTCCTAAACATCCTTGGAAGCTGTGTTGAGTTCAGTGGACTCCTGAAAAGTCTCAAGCAAGCAGGTATAGGATGGGCTCTAACTGTGGGCTCCCATCAGAATTTTTTTTAATGTTTGTGATTTATTTATTTTTTTTGCTTAGCTGGTTTCAACACTGCCTGAAGACATGCGGCCTGGACCTGATTTCCATGGACTTCCTTGGGAGCCAGTTGTCCTGACTGCCTTGGTGGGAATTGCTACGATTGCTATTTTTTTCTGGAGAACCTGCCTGTCTGTAAGTAAACTTCCATGTTCATATACACTGATGGTTTGGTTGATTCCTCAAACTTGGACACAGGTGATGAAATCTTTGCAGATCTGTTGATTTCAAATACTTACTTGTATTATGAACAGTGAAGCATATATCTTTGTTGTATTCTTCCAGAATCTTCTTTGTGTTCTATTACATGGTAGAAATGAATGTAGTATTGGGCAGAAAACTCCTAGCACTTTGACTTTCTGCTCTGGAACTAGAAGTCAGATATGCTAACACTGCTATTCTGGCCATAAAAAATACAGGACTGTTATGCAAGAAGCTGCAGGGCCTGTATCACTGCAAAAGCATGTTTTTTAGGGCTGTTGTATTAAGAACATAAGATGAGACCAGTGGTCCACCTAGTCCAGCATCCTGTCTCTCACAGGGGTCAACCATTTGGTTTGATGTAGTGGTTAAGTGTGTGGACTCTAATCTGGGAGAACTGGGTTTGATTCCCCACTCCTCCACTTGCACCTGGCTGGAAGACCTTGGACAAGCCATAGTTCTGATAAGAGCTGTTCTTGAAAAAGAGCAGTTTCTGTCAGAGCTCTCTCAGTCCCACCTACCTCACAGGGTGTCTGTTGTGGGGAGGGGAAGGGAGTTTGTAAGCCGCTCTGAGACACCTTTGGGTAGTGAAGGGCGGGATATAAATCCAATCTCTTCTTTCTGTCCTAATTCCAATGCAAGTTTGTAGCGTACAAATAAAGGATGCAGTCGCTTTCAGTGTGTTTTGCTTAAGAAAACAATGCAAAGCTGGAGATCTGTCCCTTCGCTACTACATCAGCACTCTGTGGTCTGGTGTTGCCTTGTGCTGCAACAGCTACCCTCAGTGTTTGGGTTGTGCTGTACATTAATTGGAACACTGACGCCTTGTTTGAGATCTTCACATTTGACAGTTAGAATAACACGGTGTATTTTCAAAGTAGAACTTGCTGTAATAATACACATGGGTTTGTTACTGATCTGCTGTGACTTAAACATACTTTGAGGCTTACATGTAATAGAAAACAGCTCTTTAAAGGCAGAGGAAATGTGGCGCCTGTGTAAGGAGCCATGTTGGCAAATCAAGTGGCAATTGCCTTAAGCGGCTTAATCCATCAGTTGCACTATACCCAACACAAATGCACCCAGTTTGTCCAAGTCATCCCATAAAATTATTGATATCTCTCACAATTGGATAATCTCATCCAATATACATAAATAACACTGGGACTACTGAGATAATTTTCCTTGATGCTGCATCTTTTTTATGAAGAGACAACGTACAATTCTGCAAAGCCAATGGCCTTCCAAGTGCTGTTTTTTTGTACTGTGCTAAGCGCAGTCTCACTTGCCAAACCTTTTGTAATTGAATGTCTGTTGCTTGTTTTGTGCTACTTTCTTCCTATGTTTTTCACGTTCCCTTTCTTCCATAGTTGTAAGCTTGTATAACGTACTTATCTTAATTTAGCCAGCTTGTAAATAAACTGGATTTTCTGTCCCAACCAGAGATCTAAAATATACTGAACTAGTTGCATAGAAAATATATTTTATATTTCTAGAAAACAGAGCATGGCATCACTTGAAAGCAAAAAAAGTCACTTAATATGAGTGATTACTCTAGCAGCTAATAAACATGAGCTGTGGGAATGGTTTAATTTTGCTAAATACAGTTGCTGTGTAGTCTACCTTTTTGTATATGATATGTGATAGAATGATTTGATGATCAGCTGGACCTCAAGAGTGGGAGGGAGAGAGAACTATCAGCCATATATGGAACCTTTATATATTGAGGAGAGATACTTTTCTGCAATATCACATTAAGCATAAATTTTGATCTCATTTCAGTTTACATGCTTATAATTTTGTTTACAGATCTGAAATACAATGTAATTACCTTAATTACGCCCTCAGAGCAGTTGAGTAATCAGACCTTTAGCCTGACTTTTAGGTAAGCCAGTAACCTAGAAGCTGTTTTTAGAATATGCTTTAAGCTTGCTTGTGCAATGTCACTTGATACTTACATTGGAAGCAATACAGGTGTAGATATTTTTGTGAAGTGAAACTAAAGAAGTTGCTGTTCTGTTATCAGAAATGTTTAATTTTCATTGGTTAAATATTTGTCAAAACACTGTTTTCTTTCCTTTACTTTTGTAGGTGAAGAGTAGAATGTATCAAGGTAGGACTTTTCTTATTCTTTAATGTGAGCTACTTTGGTTTTTCAGGTTTCTCAGAATGAGCTTGGTATAATTTTAAATATATTATAAACAGTACTCCTACCCCATACTTATGTTTGATAACTAAGGACCAGCCACTATGAGAATCAAAAAAATGAGCAAAACAGGGCTAACTACAGAACAAAGTTTCCCCCCCCCCAATAAATTTTATTGAATTTTTCTATACAATCAACCAACGAACAAAGATAACAAGAAAGTCACAGACTGTAACAATAATACAATCTAGAAAAAACTGAGGAATTATACCAGAATACCAATGCACATTTCAATTTAATAACAAATAGAGCTTAACTATATAATAAGACTTTATATTTAGCCGTCTTGTTTCTCAATCAAATTTATCTATGCCTATTTTGTCCAAAATTGGGTACCATATATTAAGTGGGCTCATCATTTCACATTCATTCTGGGTTTCCGTATTACTACAGAACAAAGTTATAGTCCAGTGGCATCTTTAAGACCAACAAAGTTTTATTCTGGTTATAAGCTTTCGTGTGTGTGCAGAAGTTTGTATGCACATGAAAGCTTATACCCAGAATAAAACCTTGTCATAAAACTGCCACTGGACTCAAAAGTTGACTGCTGTTTCAGACCAATGTGGCTACCCACCTGAGGGCTAACTACCGTGTGTGGTTCTGCAGATCTGGGGTGGGGTGGGGGTGTACGCAGAAAAATCCACTTTGTTTAAGGGGGAGGCTAAAGAAACATTAACAGTGCTGCCTATGCATGTACAGACATAGGAAAAAAGATGGGTTTCAGGGGGCATTTTGGGTAGCCATAGGTCCTTGATATGGCAGCTGACTTTGAGGCAGTGCTGTCAGCCACTTGCACTATGGGAGGAGGGAGCCAGAAGGTGAATGGAATTTTCTTCTTGTGGGTTTCACTTGTCAGATCTAAAATACCATTTGAGCACTTTGAGCTTTTATACATAGTGAGCTTCAGAAGTGTTAACATTCATATTAGGGTTGAGAGACAGATAGTCCTGTGTGCAGGCCAGGAGTCCTTTCCTGCTGCAGGTCCTTGTGCTTTGTTAGATCCAGCTCTGAACCATTCCGTGCCTTCAGCAGAGGGTTTTCTAGGGCTTCAGTGGGAAAGGGAAGCCTTGCTGTGCTGGTGTGTGTGCAGATCTTTGTATCTTTGCAGCTTCCAATAGCTACCTCTTAAATGAGCTATAGTTGTGCTGCTTGCTTCGCTCTTTCCAAGGCAGGTCCTGAATATACACTTTGCTGGAGTCTCTGGAGGTGTCTATTAAGAAAAGAAGTGCCTTTCTCATCCCAAACAGAGATCCCATGGTGTGGTATCACTATGAAAGCGATGCATTCAGGAGGCTTAAATAGCTTTCCCCCTACCCTGTAGCCCTTTATTTAAACCATCTCCCATTCTCACCCTGCATGAGTCATCAGTGCAGTGGGAGCACTGGAATTGATTTGACTTGTTTCTGTATCATACAGACTAGAGTACCTAAGTTACTTATCCTAGAAATTCAGAACTGGGGTCACATTTGGAAATTCTTGATTCATAATTGTAAAGGTACATAACTGTAAAGATACATAAGTTGTCAAAAGTTAGTTTTTGTAGGTTAGCTCTGTAGTAAGTCAGTCCACAGTTGCTCTTTCTTTTCTTTTTCCTAGTGACAGAAAATCAGCTTGTTGAAAAAATTAAAGCGCTTGTAAAAGAAAAGGCTGAAATCTTAGAAAAGATGTCACAATATGATCAAAAGGTATCGTGCTATCTGCATGTGTCTTGTTTTGTAATTAAAAACTTGCTGTTTGCATAATGTGAAGTGTGTCTGCTTTTTATTCTCTTTCTGTTAATGAAATAAAGGAGGGAGATTATGATTTAAACATGAGTAATAAATGTCAAAATCTATCTACTTCCTCTGTGTATTTTTTACTTTGTAACTAGATAAGGGAAGCAAAAGAATCTGTGAAAGAGACCCAAAAACAGAATATACACCTTTCTGATGAAGCTGCAGGGCTTAAGGTAAGAAACAAATATGGTTTGTTTATAGTATGTAAAAAGTATATAAACAGAATAAATTTACTAGTTGTGATTTTTGTTACAGGATACACTCAGGAAGCTTAAAGAAACAAACAGCTTTTTAGATGGTAAAGTGAGAAACTTACAGGCCACGCTAGAAATGGAGAAAGAGCAGAGCTTTAAGAAACAAGAACAAGTAAGCAAATATTTCAGAAACTACATTTCCTTTGTATGGTGTTAATACAATGATTCTGTCAAAAATGACTATTATCTTGGAGCATAGTAGCAACAGAGTGCTTTGTATACTCAATTCAGTCCTTACAACAACAGCATACAGTAATCAGTCTTATCCCTAAATTGTGGTGGTGTAACTGAGAGAAAAGTAGCTTGTTTCAGACATCATCAACAGTGAATTGCTTCTTTCATTTTAGGATCTAAGGACATACTTCTGAAGCAAGCTACATTTGCAGCCTGTAACTGGATTTGATCACTGTATAATTGTAGCAAAATACTGTGTTGCCATTACATTTATTCAGAAAATGCATATGCTGCCTTTCTAGAGACCTTCTGAAAGCACCTAATGAAATCTTTGTAGAGTATGCTGCTGGAATAACTAAAATTTCCAAATTTTCTAGCTAACATATGTGATGATACTTACTGTCATAGATCACAGAAACCCAGAAGACTTTGGAGAAACTCCAAGAAGTTACCGTACTGCATTCTGTAGAGCTTTCTGAGGTAAACCATCTAAAACTTGCTTATACAAAGTGCTCTGACTCTGAATTCCAAGAGGAATTGTCAGTGGAGGAGGGTATTTGTGAATGGGATTGTCCTCCTACCCCAGCCATAAACTTCTGGAACTGAGGAAAGACAGGCATGGCTGTACTGAAGTTCTTGCAGAATGCTTCCATTTCCAGGAGGAGGTGGATCCCAGTACATGCCCTTCCTGCTCCTCAGAAGCAGCAAACTTTCAGAGTTCTGCTCTTACTCTCTCTTAAATTCTGTCTTTTGGTATAATCTGTTACATTCACATGATTGTGGCCTCAACCTGGAAATAATTCATGGAAAATTTAGGTGCAGATAGCTCTCAATGAAGCCAAACTAAGTGAAGAAAAGGTGAAGTCTGAGTTGCATCGTGTTCAGGAAGAGAATGCAAGATTGAAAAAGAGCAAGGAGCAGGTGAGTGTTGTTCTCATGAACCCGTATTTATTCTCTGAAGCATTTTCGTGCCACTTCTTAAGCAGGTTCTTGAAGCAGCTATTTACTGCTATTCCTAAAGTAATCTTTCGCTTTGGAGCATGTATTAGATTATAAACATTGCCTGTTTCATTTAAATACAATTGGGGGATATGAGTAATGCTTTAGGATATTGAGGATTTGGATTGGGCAGAAATTGACCAGTGCTAAGAAAGGAAGTAGAGTAGTGCAGATACCTAGTTGCTGCTGAGAGTGAAAAGAATGCCCATGGGAAGTTGCGAGGGGACTGTCATACCAGGTAATCAATGAAGGTAGTACTCAAAGATGATGAACGTTTTGGGGGATAGTAGCAAATGGTAGAGGGTGTCTGTTTAAATCAAGTTTAATGCTTAGCAGTTGCAGGTGATATGATATCGCTTTGAGCACTTTTCCTGCACTCAAGCTAACAAGAAGCAATGTGTCTTTCTACTAGCACTACCCCAGACATATTTGCCCTTCCCAAACCTTTTGTATGTTGATAGTTTTTACATTTTTATCAAAGTGTAGGCTTTATTTATTTATTGGTGGTTCCTCATGGCCTGGTTTAGGATGGTCATTGCAGCTAGTCCTAAACCTTAAACTCTGTTGCTAGAATATTGCCTTTTAATTGCAGAAGATTTGGGGTCATATTTAGAGAGCAAATTAAACTTGATGATGATACTTTAGGTCCCAACTACTGGCAGAAATAGCTGTTTTCCACAAGGGAATGATTAGTCTTCTTCCTGTTTGTAGCTGTTTTGCATCAGGCTATACTGCTAGCATAGAGAGGCGTACCTACAAAAAAACTGATGCCAAATCAGAAGTGTTTAGAAGAGGTTAGTCTTGGTGCTTGCTACTCAGCGGAAAAAGTGAAAAGCTAATGAGGATTGTAGGTAAACCTGGGCCCCGGTCACACGGAGCATTAGGCACGCTAGAGAGATGGAAGATAGGCGGATTTTCTGGGCACAATCTCACTGCCACATCTGGGAAGCATAGAGCTCCCGTGGCTCACCCGAGGCTTCACTCCGAAGATGCGTTGTAAAAAACTAGTACCTCCTAGAATGTTCTTTATCTTTGTGGGCTTTTGTCAAAACTGATCTGTTCCTAGGTTTCTTCTCTAAGCTGGCACAGTTAGAGCGCTAAAGAAAGAACTTTTTCAGTAGAATGGCTGCTGTATCCATTCTTTGCTTGTTTGTTGACTATCTTTCTCTTGCCTTACTGTAGCGCATGGTGCTGTCTGCATCTTCTTGCTTGGCTTGTTTTCTCTAGGAATGGCAGAAGTGCATGCAACTAGGTCATGTTATCAGTTGCTGCAGCAAAAGTGTTGTCTTCACAAAGTGTTTCCCCAGAGTGGTAAATAAATTTTAGTTTTGAAACCATTGTAAGCAAAAAGGAAGCAACAGTAGTGATTCAGAGCATAGCTTTAACAGTCTTTTATTCTTTAGTTGCTAGACTGAATTCTTTCAAAGCCTGGAGTGTAGCAGGTCTGATGCTCTTGATGTACCAGTAATACTGATAATATTGTACTATGTTCTTAGCTGCTCAAAGAAACAGAAGGCTGGACTGAGAGGCATGCTGAGCTCAGTGAACAGATTAAGACATACCAGAAGTCTCAAAAAGACATTGAAGAAGCACTTGCCTACAAGGAAAATGAAATTGAAGTAAGAACTCTTGAAGGATAACTTTCTTCTGTGTTCAATGGGCTGTGTGACTAAGCTTACGGCATCAAATATTGTGTTCTTTTGATTGAATGGATTTTTTCACTGCTGCTTTAGGTTTTGACTAACTGCATTATGCAGCTGAAACAGCTTGATGCAGATTCTGAACTGGATGGGAAGAAGGATGAAGGAAATGATGTAGCTAATGGGGAGCACTCAGGTATTAAAGTATTAAATTACCTGACTGATTTGTGAATGCAATAACTCCTCATATATACTGTTTTGAGGAAGCAAAATTTTGAAGAGATTCAAGCACTAGATGGTAATCATGCGTTTAATGAGAAGCTCAACTTCGTAAATTGACATTTTGTTGACTTAAAGTGCAGGGCTTTAAAGTGCAGGCATACTAGTAGAATGGCACAATCAAAAGTTATGATGTGCATCTAGTAGTATGCTAAATACCTTAGCAAGAGGTTAACTTTAAAAATTTTGGATTGTAACTAATGTGGGCAATTCAGTAGTTTGGACTGTTATGGCACTTCCTTTCTAGCATCAGAAACTACCTGGATCTTTCTAGCATCAGTCATGCATTAGAAGTAATTTTAATGGCTGATACTGTAACAGTTTCTTGTCTCAAAACTCACCTAGGAGAAAGGTGGATTTATAAATGTCTTAAATACATATCTGATCAATGATTAATGGAACCTTGCTCTTATAATGAAATCTTTTAAAAGTATTTGAAGATATAAGTAAATACACCAGAATATGTTAAGTTTGGAAAGTTTTACTTAAATATTTGACACAATGGAAAAAGAATCATTTTTCTTTCTAGATACCAGAAACGAAATGATGAAAAATCAGATTAAGCAGATGATGGATGTTTCACGGGTATGAAGCATTGTCTAGTCAATATTTCCTAAGCTATATTTCTACCGCAGCAGAGGTTTATGTGTCATTTTGTTACCCTTCACAGGTAAAAACAACATTATCAATCATTGAAGAAGACCGAGATCTCTTGCGGTCCAAACTAAATGATGAAATAACAGCAAGACATGAATTAGAAGGTGTGTATAACAAACAATTTAGCATGTAGTGGTGTTCAGTAAAAACTATTAGTTCAGTAAGTGAGGTAATTCTCATTCCCACTAGTATATTAGAAACCTGCAGCCAAAACTGTCTGGTTAGTTAAGATCAATGTGAAATTCTCTCTCTTCCTCAACCCTCTGGTTTTCAGCTCACTTATTTACATGTTTATTTAAATATTTAAATGTATAGAATCATAGAGTTGGAAGAGGCCATACAGACTATCTAGTCCAACCCTCTGCCCAATGCAGGACCCCAGCCTAAAGCATCTGACAAATATTTGTCCAGCCTCTTGAAAGCTGCCAGTGAAGGGGAGCTTACCACCTCCCTAGGCAGCTGATTCCACCTTTGAACCACTCTGTGAAAAAGTTTTCCCTAATATCCAGCCGATATCTTTCTGCATGTAATTTAAACCGATTACTTTTGGACCTGTCCTCTGCTGCCAACTGGAACAGCTCCTTGCCCTCCTCCAAATGACAGCCCTTCAAATATTTAAAGAGAGCAATCATGTCCCCCCTCAATCTCTTCTTCTCCAAACTAAACATTCCCAAGGCCCTTAGCCTTTCCTCTTAGGGCTCAGTCTCCAGACCCCTGATCATCCTCGTCACTCTCTTCTGCACCCTCTCGATTTTGCCCACATCCTTTTTGAAGTGAGGCCTCCAGAACTGCTCAAGGTGCAGCCTGTCCAAGGCAGTATACAGAGGGTCTATGACCTCCTGCGATTTCGATGCTATGGCCCTTTTAATACAACCAAAGACTGAATTTGCCTTTTTTGCCACCGCATCACACTTGACTGCTCATATTTAGTTTACAGTCCACTCTTACCCTAAGATCTTTCATGTACACTACTCCCTAGAAACATATTCCCCATCCAGTATTTGTGCTTTACATTTTTGTCACCCAGATGTAAGACTGTGCATTTATCTTTGTTGAATTGCATCCTGTGTGCAACTGCCCACTTCTCCAGAGTATTCAGGTCTTGTTGAATTTTAACGCTATCTTCTTTGGTGTTTGCTACTCCTCCCAATTTGGTATCATCAGCAAATTTAATGAGTAGCCCTTCTACCTCTTCATCCAGATCATTGATAAAAATATTGAAAAGTACCGGGCCCAAAACTGAGCCCTGCAGCACCCCGCTGGACACCTCCCTCCAGTCTGATGAAATACCATCGGCCACCACTCTTTGGGTGTGGTCCTCTAACCAGTTCCCTGTCCACTGAACTGTCCTATAGTCCAGTCCACAGTCTTCCAGTTTTCCCATCAGAATGGCATGGGGAACCTTATCATCCAGGTAAATCACATCAACGGAGTTCCCACGATCCAGTAAGCTCGTCACACGATCAAAGGAAATCAGGTATGTTACTTTGAAGACAGTATGCATGATAAAATCATCATTTAACATATCCACACACCAGAAACAGCATTAAACCAACATAAAAACAACAGTTTGCTTTGGTAGCAAATGGAGACATAAGATTATTTTTATATATAGCTATAAGAAAAGAAATAAAACAGTATTAAACAGAATAGCTTTAAAGCAAATGCAAAAGTCCAGCCAGACCCTGTCCACAAAAAAAGTAATAATGAAATGCCTGGAAAAATAAAAATATTTCCACCTGGTACCTAAAACCTAATAAAGCAACTGGCAAATAGTGACATCTTTAGGCATGGTAGGTGGCATTGTTTCAGTGACTGTGGAAGCTATGTTCTCAGAATTGCCATGTCAGATGGATCTAGTAAACCTGTGCTACCTTGACATCCTTGCCCACAGTTGCAAGATCTTCTTTGACAGCTGTTTTCCTTCCTGCTACTAACACACCATTCTCCATTTGTACTTTGCCCTACTTTGTGTATTTTCCATGGCTCCGTGGCCTTCAGGTTGGATCTGGACTCCACACACCATTTCTAGCCATTTCCCCTTCCCACTGCAGACCACGCTCATGTAATTTCTCAGGGTTCCCTGTTACCAAGAAGCAGCATTTTGTGGAAATCAGTGGGCTACAGTGGGAGGGAAGTGCCATGAAAGTTTTATTCTGTCACTGGACAATTTAGTCTGGATGGAACCCTTTAACAATGTATCTGAACCTACTCTGCCTTCAGGGCTTTGCTTTTCAGGACTGCTTGATCTGCCCTATTTCTGTTAGGTATCCTGTCTTTTGTCTGCCCTCTGTGTGTTCTTTTTCTCTCACCCCAGAACACACTGATCTTAAGTTCTGAGCTTTAAGTGCTAAGAAATTTTTGCAGAGCCCTGTATGTGTATAGCCATTCTTGCTTCAGTGTGCCATTTCTCTTCCCTTTCCTTAAAGGCTCATTATCCACCTACCCTTCTTTGGGCACGTTCCTTAACTACTTCTGTATCACATTGTCCTCATTCCAGCCCTGCCAGGGTGGCCCTGTGTGAAATAGTCCCAACCAAACTGACAATGTTCCTTTTCATCAGAGAAACTGGACTGCAAACTCCTCCCCCCACCCAAAGCATGTAATCATTTTGTGTTGCCACACCAACTCAGTATTGGAGTCTTTACCATCACATATATATATGTATGTGTTTGTATTATATTGCAGAGCAAATCAAGAAGCTGGAACATGATTCGTGCTCCTTGCAGACAGCAAAATCTCAGCTAGAAAGTGAGTGTAAAACTCTGCAACAGAAAGTAGAGATTCTTACTGAGCTTTACCAACAGAAAGAGATGGCACTTCAAAAGTAAGTACTGGAATTGAAAGGAAAGAGAAATCTAAAATACGTTATAAGTAAGCTGGGAGGGTGGAGGTATCTGTTAGGTATGCCACATTTTTAAGTACTCTGTCCTCCCCCCAAAGCTCTTGCTGGCAGCATGTGTGAGTTTCCCTTGTGGTTTTTTATCCATGCACAAGCAAGGCCCTGGCCCTTCTTAGCTTCAGCCATGAGACTGCATTTCAATGCCTTTTCCAGTATTGTCTAGGTTTTGGTATTAGTCCAATGTCTCTAAGCAATTTAGGCTGGAAAGCCATTTCTGTTTTGCTTGTCTTGTGGGAAAAAATGGCATCAGTACTTTTGAAAGCTAGAAAATAACTGTTCTTCCTTGGCCCTCGATTATTAATCACACTTTTACTGCTGAAAGTCATGAACTATTAAAGGACATTTTCTAGTCGGTTCTTAACCTGCTACACATTTCTTTTGAAATACCCTAATCTAGATGGTAAACCCCTCTCCCTATTGCCCCTTTCTCAAGCTGCTGCTAGCGGAGAAAAAGGCAGTCTTTTGGAACTAAGAGTCGAATTAATAGTGACTGGGAGACACTTTTATATTTATAAATGAAGGGGAAAGGTAGATTCATGTAAATAAAGCAGGGATGGGTCGTGTGAGCAAGATAAGCTAAACTCTACTCCTTCTTATGCTTCACCTTTGCTGTTGTGCCAGTGCTTTGAAGAACTTTTCTCCCATGGACAGAAAGTTGAGCTCATAATGTTATCACCAAACATACTTACATGAATGAAAACGTCTCATAGAAATTCTCAAGTAAACCACAATTGTCAAATAAACCAAATTAAAAACCCAATTCTTCCTCCACTATTTTGAGTACATGTTGATTAATGAAAGAAACAACTCTAGCTTGCCACCTACTGTTGCATAACGCTAAAAGAACTTCCGGTTACAAGACAATCTTAGGATCTCTTGGCTATACTACACACATACTGCCATATGATGATAATTATTATTAATGAAAGAATGGGACTGTGTGTAAGAGAAAAGAATTGTTGAGCAGTGGAGAGGCAGAGATGATCTGTGCCCAATATGTTTTATCAGTCTACGTTCTACTCTTAAAAAGTGAAGTCTGGTTTCAGCTAGACATGTTGGAAGAAAAAAGTACCTATGGAGTTCCATAGGCTAGCAATTGCATTTAAACTGGTCCTGATCTTCCATAGCAGCAGTCTACGTGGAATACAATGTATGTGACTAGAAAGATTCTTTGACATCATAGGTCTTTATATTGGCGAGAAGGGACGTAGTTTTGAATATATATATATTTATGGGGACAAGAGAAACAACACACCCTGCTCCTTCCAGGGATATTCATGTCTGTTGAGGGATCCCTCCTTATCTGTGAATAGTTTGAGGTAGGAGGCAGAATGCCAATCTACTTTGTAACCATGAGCAGACAGTGTATACCCCAGTATCTTTTTTTTCAGTGCTGGATGCCAGAACTCTTGTTTCCCATTCACCTGGGATACTTTGACTTTGTGAGCCCTTTGCCTTCTGGTGTTCCTCAACTGTCCTTGCTTTTGGTCTGGCAGCACAAGTGACTGCTGCAAGGTGGGGCAGATCTGTGTCTTGCTTAATTTGCTTTCTTCTGTTCTCTCCCAGGAAGCTGACTCAAGAAGAGTATGAGCGACAAGAGAAAGAGCAGAAGCTCTCTGCTGCAGATGAAAAAGCAGTCCTGGCTGTCGAGGAAGTGAAAGTTTACAAGTAATTGAACACATCAACACATGAAGCTGCCTTATAGTGAATCAAACCATTGGTCCATCAAAATCAGTACTGTCTATTCAGACTGGCAGTGGGTCTCCAGGATCTCAGGCAGAGGTCTTTCACATCACCTACTGCCTGGACCTTTAAACTGGAGATGCTGGGGATTGAACCTGGGAGACCTTCTGCATGCTAAGCAAAGGCTCCTCCACTGAGCCACAGCCCCTCCCCAAACATTTGAAGTATTAATGTCTGGAGGTTTTGAATGGTGAAGAAAATTAAGCTTTTAACCTTTTTTTTTTTTGACAGGCAGAGAATTCAGGAAATAGAAGAAGAATTGCAAAAAACAGAGAGATCTTATAAAAATCAGGTATGATGCTGTCCTGAGAGGATTCTTGAGAAAGTGAATGTGGGATATGTTAGGAGCAGTGTTCCCTCTAAGCTGAGTTAGTGTGAGCTAGCTCACAGTTTTTTAGCCTCCGGCTCACACATTTTTGTCTTATCTCAGGAAGGAGGGCTCCAGAACAAACTGATTCATGCAGTAGCCAAATCGCTCCCTCACAGCTTTAATGCCAGTAGCTCACAAAGTAGAATTTTTGCTCACATGACTCCACATCTTAGAGGGAGTATTGGTTAGGAGAGTATGCACATTAATTTAATTTTTTTAATGTTTTCAGATTGCCAGTTATGAGAAGAAGGCCCATGACAACTGGGTAAGGTTTCCCCCCACAAAATCATTAAATTTGCTCATCGCAAGCTCACTTTATTCCACTGAAGTGAGATGGTTGATGCGGCTGACATCCTACACATTGGCTGGCTGCATTCAAGCATCATTATGAGCCATAGCTTATAAACCATGGATTAATAAACTCTGAACGTGAGATGCCCAACAAACTACCGTTTTTGGTAGGCACTCAATTAGAATTCTAAACTGTGGTTTGTGCCTGGCTCATTAATTGTATTTCCACAATTTGTTCCCTTCTAGCTTACGGCACGTTCTGCAGAGAGGTTATTGGCTGAAGAGAAAAGGGAAGCTGCCAACCTGAGGCAAAAGTAAGCACGTTCTCTGCATGTTCTTTACACACACACAAGTCAGCTTCAGTCTGTCACTAGATTAGACAAAGCCAATACACATCCAACTGTAGTTTTGTGTCTTTTTAATAATTCATTTTATTTTTATTAGGTTAATAGAGGTAAATCAAAAAATAGCTGCGCTTCAGAGACCATTAATTGTGAAACCCACTCCAGGCCGACCAGACCACCAAGTCCCTCCCCGCAGAGGTAAATATCCTCTTCGCTTATCTGTTGCTAATGAACTGAAGAGCCAGAATGGCTCTTCTGAAAACAAATAAATATTCTGCAACAGTGATAGTACATTATTCCTACCCTATTACAGGTCCAGTGAGTCGAGATGGCTCCTTTGGACCTTCACCTGTGAGCGGGGGAGCTCCTTCGCCACCACTAATGATGGAACCTCCTGTGCGGCCCCTGTCTGCCAATCCAAGGGAAGGGTCTAGAAGTGAATTTAGTAAGAAATCAGTTTTTTCCTCCTCAAGTTACTTTGGTAAACAAACTGTTTTAAAGCATTGCCACTTATAAACTGCTACATCACACTTCCTGGATCTTGTGTTAATGCTGAATGGCCATCATGCCTTATTAACTCATTGTCATTTTCTCAGTAGTACTAATAGTGTCTTCTCAATGCTGAATGGAAATGGAAATTGGCTGATCCTAACAGCCAGAAGAATCTTTGCAAGATGCTTGTGACTAAGACTTTTACAGCTCACACTTTAATTAGTGCTAGGAAAAGCTCTTCCTTGTTATTTAAGGATTTTGCCAACTATTCTTATCCAGGGAAGCAGCCCTGAAATTAGTCGGAAACATGAGCCTTAAAGTGAGAAGGGTTAGCCCATATAAGATATGCAGTGGTCTGCAGCCTCCCAATCATTTGTGTTTAGGAGACTGAAATCCAACCATTGACTGTCTAGATTCGCAGCTAATTTCTGGTTTCTGTCTATGTTAAGAACAACAAAAAACAGTGAAAGGAACAAATAGCCTCAAATTAAACAGGATAACGGTATTCTGTAACACCATATTTTGAAGCATTTAGAGTACCGTTCAGCCCATGCTAAACACTTCTTGATCTTTTGATTTCAATTGGTGGGCCAACCATCTGCTTAAATTTCCTCTCATTAAAATCAGTTGAACGCAAATAGGTTACCTTTGGCTGTCTTGTGTGCCATTAGTCTTGCAATGAATAATCCTGGATGCCGTAAAGCTCTGCTGCTCCTGCCTAACACACATTATGTAAAGCTATGAATTTAAGATTCCATTTTAAATGAGCAGAAGGTACTTCCTGGTATTTATGTCTAGGATTTGGGAGTAACTGTTCTAATTCAGCTGCTCTTAACAGTGGTGATTGTATTTGAAAATCCCAGGCTATCTAAAAGTTAATTCTGATAGTCCTCATTAAATATTTTGCCTCAGATTTCTTGTTGCAATTTCAGGCAGTGCAAGGGCCTCTCTTAACCATGGTTAAAGGGATCAAGAGTGGATCAGAGGATCATGTGCTTCCCCTCCCACCTTACCTTAGAGGATACGTTGGCATCAATTGTAACTGTACTTGAAACTAATAAGGTTCCCTACTTAGTAAGGATTATTATTTACTTCAAATTGATTCCCTTATTTCTTGTTAAGGTTGGGAGAATAAGCTTGTAATGTGTTTGTCAACATTGCTCCAGTACTGTGAATAACAGAAAAAAGAGAAAGTGTGTCTAATTGAAGAGCGCTAAGAATACAGTTGCAGGAGCAACCCCTTAACCATGCAAGTGGATGAGCTGTGTGTTCAATCTCTGGCAGGTGCTTCTGTGCCAGAGGGTCCTCCAGTTCCGAGAAGGCATTCAGAGCTGTCAGGAAGAATATCTGCTCCAGGTGAGACTGCAGCTACACAACTACTAGTCAGCTGAATAAGTATGTAGTCTTTTCCAGAAGCAGTATAAACGTATGGGGGTCTTTTCTCCTCTTTCCAGACCTTGGTCCTGCTGTAGCACCCCTCATCAACTGTGGGCCAAGAACATCCTCTCCATCTTCTACGCTAGTGGATGGAATGGTGAGTAAATGGGAGTGAGTCTTTTTTCTGCTGCTCAAGTGACACTCGAGGCAGAATCTTTGCTCTTACCCCATTATATATGTTGCATTGCCTCTTACTTACATATCATCTATTTTGTCTGTCATCTCACTGTCATTATTTTGTTGGGGGGGAAATAAAGCAAAATCCTCCCAAAGAGCAGGAAGCCCCCTGTGCTGGTGCTGATGCTGTTTCACCTTCATCTGCTGAACAAACTGCAGTGAGTACTGAGAAGCTGGGTATGGTGCTGTTGCTTCCACTGCTTTGATGGAAAAGATGGCATAGGAGCATGCTGTTTCCTGTGGTGGCATAACAAAATGGGTCTTTGCAGAACTCACCATGAGCTGCATCTCTTAGTAGGCTTTTTGATTTGTTAAACTTACTTGCATCTTTGGGACAACTAATATCATTTTAACGTTGAATTTGGAAAAGCCAAGCTTTTTAATCTTCTTAAGGACAACATAACTATATTACTTCAGAAATCTTTCTGGTGTGGTGGTTCCTGATACTTAAGGCTTTTAAACACCTTGTGTATTTTCTAGATTTTTATGTTGGAACGAAATCTGTTTGGTCTTCCTGTCATTTGCACATGAAGGAGATTTAGACAGCATGTTTGAATGTGATTGGAAGTTCATTCTTTGGAAGATATTTGCTAAGAGAAGGGAAATCTTCTTAATATGGAGATAAATGGAGTTTGAAAACCCTGCTGCTACCTGGCTGTGTGTCTCAAAATACTGTTTGGCCTGAAGTTCAGTCTTCATTTTATTGGAACATCTACTAGAAGGGTAACATTGCAATTTTTACAGGTTAACGTAAGCTCTAAAGGACCGCCACCTTTTCCTGGTCCTCCCATAATGACATCTTCAGCAACTGGACCCCTGCCACCTCCTGTTCGATTTGGACCTCCACCACGAGCGCCCTATGGACCTCGGCCTCTTCCTCTTTCTCTAGGTATGCTTGCTATGATTTATGTTGTGCTGAAATGTTTACTTAAAAATTGTATAGCCCTATGAATTCCAGAATCTTTTTCACATCTTGTTGCAGAACAGGACCTCTTGTCAACATGCAACTTAAAGAGCATTCAGTTCTGTCTTGTGTAGAATTGGCAGGGCTTGAGCCAATATAGTTATAGCAGTTGGAGAACTAATTACCAATGGCTAAAGTACTTTAAGTACAGAATATTATTTTGATATAATGGATTTCCATTCACAGCCATGGTTGTTGTAGCATTTTTAATATGTTTGGCAGGCATTTTTGTGTGTACTGAAAGTTAAATGACACATTGCTAGAACTCTTCCAGTGTTTACTTTGTGTGCTTAAAATGCATGTGTAGGTTAGATGCATGTGTCTCTGTGAATGAGGCCCATTTCCTACATAGATCCATATTTATTCTATGAAAGCCAAATAAGAGAGAAGCCTCTTTTCTGTCTCGTCTCACTCCTATTCTAGAGAGAGGGGTATGACACACATTGTTAAGCGATCCTTAAAACAAAGGGCTGATGCTCTGTGGTAGGCTTGGAATTCAGTAGAACATTCCCCCGCTCCCCTTTTTATTTTCTTTGTTACCTGAAAGCCATATAGACTCTTGTCTTATCCTTCTTCCTTCTCTTCTTTCCACCCACCAGTCAACCTGCTTTTATCTGCCCTTTCTTCCAGTCTTCAGTTTTCCCTTCTTCCTGCTTCCTGGGAAAAGTGTCTAAGTTGCACTGTGCTGGCTGTTGGACCATGCCCAGTTGCGCAGGAGGGAAACCACAATTGTGAGGGGCACTTCACTTTTCCTTCTGTCCCATCCCCACACTATTTCCTCTTTACCACCTCCTGGCAACCCCTATATCCTCACCTGTCCATGCTTTCCTTCTCTCCTTCCCAGTCACCAACCAACCTACATTTTATCTCCCCCCTCATCTACTGCATGTATGCCCTACCTTTTTCCACAATGTGAACCCAAAGCAATTTCCCTTATTCTCTTCCCTTTTATCTTCACATACAACCCTGTGTGGTAGGTTAGGCTGAGAGTACGATTGTTCCTAGGTCGCCTAGCAAGATTTCATGCCAGAGTGGGGATTTGAACCTGGATCTCCCAGATACTAGTCTGAAACTCTAGCCATTACAGTACACTGGCTTTCCTGTGCTGGCTGCTGTTCAATGGTATTAAGCAGCCAGTCCTGTGTAAGTCATGCAAGTCATGTGGTATCAAGGTGGTTGCTGTGAGGCCTAGCCCCAAAACAGCCCTAGAAAGGGCCCTGCCCCTTTTATTGATGGAAACCAAGCCTGGAATGCTGTAAAGACTGTTGTGGTTTCCTGGTAACGCCCACTGGGGATTCATTTCATAAACTCACGGGCACTGCTTTTATTTGGGGTGGGGTTTAACCCCGAAGTATACTATTTTAGTTTCAGATTTTTCTGCTAAGCAGAGGCTTTTCTCAGGTTTGTAGAAAGATCTGTTGCTGTTCCTGGCTTCAGTCTTTCGCTTCCAGTATCTGGAGATTTGGCCATGTTGAGAATCAGATATATTGATAATCACAGACAGTTTGAGCAGGAACAGAATTCATGTAGTCAGAGTAATGTTTAAATATATTAATAGCACTAATCACTAAAATGTCCAGAATAGGTAAGTAGTCCCAAATGTTCACACACAACCATTGTGCAATGTCTAACTCAAGTAAAAGGCTGGGGTGAATGGGTAAGATGACAAAAAGAGCAAAGGAATATATTACCTAAGGGATAACATGCATGTAGGCAGCTGATGTTCTTAGAGGGCCTTGGGCCTGCACCATTCGGGAGGTTTGGTGTTCCAGGAAGAGAGGCTGGGTGGGGGAGTCAAGTAGGGATCTGAGCAGAGATTGTCCATAATCTAAAGGAGATCTGGAGGAGGAGCAGGGCTAGGTATAGCAAGTGAGCCCGTAAACCAGGCCAGGATACACAGTAGGATCCATAGAGCAGAGCAGGGCTGGGTTGGTCAGGGAAGTTTTTTACAGCATCAAAACTTTTTCAACTAAGGAAGGAAGGAAGGAGACTTTGAAGTTAGGAGGAGGTTTGTTAAAGGTAGTCTTTGTGACATCACCAGGACTATGGCACAGCCATATTGTATCATCAAAACTTTTTCAACTAAGGAAGGAAGAAAGGAGAATTTGAAGTAAGGAGGAGGTTTGTTAAAGGCAGTCTTTGTGACATCACCAGGACTGTGGCACAGCCATATTGTAACAGTATTATAAGGTTGTATGTATTGAGGGTTGTTGTTACTGGGAGTTCTTCGTTAGAAAGGAATACAATGAGACAAGAGAATACTGTGTTTTAGAAATGCCTTGATAGAATCCAAATGTATCTGCTACAGTAGTCAGCCTTTAGTGAGCAATTGGACCAATCTCTCTTGGGGAGGTTCCTTTGTTGCCAGGATTCTCCTTCCTGACTGGTCTGCAACAAGTAAGCGAACTGTTGTGCCTTCATAGCTATAAAACAATCATACTGAGTAGCCCATTCCTACCTATTACTGTGTAAATGGTCACACCTAGGGCTGTCATGCCTTTTATGCAATCTTTCCTTTTTCAAAAACCAAACGTTGTCAATCAGTGGTGTTTTAGATTACAGCAAAATAAATTATGAAAGTCAATGTATAAGTTTACATATTCAAGTTTTTGTGGAAGCTGAGCTTCCGAAAATCTTTTTCCACCACAGAAAAGTGACAGGAGATTGTGAAGGGCACAAGTGCTCCATCGTGTATATAGTAGATGTGGGTTTTCTTTCCCTGACCTCAAGTGGGTTTGCAAGCCAGGAGTGCACTTGTGGAAAGCAGGGATGTCTTGGGATTCTGTGTTTGCTGTCAGATTTCAAGTTGAGATACTCACATTTACTCTTAGGTATGTTGCCAAAGTGCTGTTGAAAGAAAGATTACTCTTACAGGGTGTGCCAGCTTCACTGTTTCTTCCTTTCCTTTTAGTCCGTGGTGCTCCTCCGCCATCCATTCCAAGAGACTATCCACCCGGTCCTCCCTTTGGAATGAGAGACTTTCCACCTGGCCCACTGCCACCCCCAGAGCATAGAGGATATCTCCGTGGACCTCCTCCTTTCCGGCCTCCAACCCCCAGAGATTATCCTCCACGGCTACCCCCACAAGGATTACGGGACTATCCCCCGCCTTCGGTCAGAGACTCGCCGCCTTCAGGACCCAGTAACTACCAAGGAGGTCCTCAGTGTCCGCCATCCCCAGCTAGCTCACAGGACTCAGCACATCATCCGGAACAGAAACCATGACTTGAGATTTCTGGACTGAACTCTACCACGTTTCATGTGGTGAGGATTTCAGTGGCTTCAGCACAACCAACTCTGTTTCCACTTTTAGATTTGGTTTCAATGTGGCTTTTTAAAAAATGCAAGAATAAGTTGTCTCCAATCTCTAGCATTGTGCATTTTGATCACCTTTAATAAGGACTTGTCCATCCTTCTGGGATGCAAGTATAATTTTTCTGTGATGAACCTGAAGCCTGCTTCTTACAGCTGTGGTCAACTCACAGCTCTCGACGTGCAATATATGAAAAGTACCTGTGTGGTTAGTTTTTAATTAATGTAGCCTATGTAACAAACTGGTGGATGATTTCATAATTCAAAATATAATCTGAACATTTCCTGTGGAAATACTGTATGTAAAAAATGCTACCCCTTCAGCTATAGCCTACAGTGACTGTAGACCAGTTGTTTACATAGGGATTCTAACTCAAAGCTTTTAAAAACATCTGGTGTAAAAGACCAGAGGCACAAACTACACTGTACTGGAAGGACAGTTGTATTAATAAAGAGAGCAAGGTCCCTTTTGCTAAATTTGAAGAATGAGTTCTGTTCAACACTGTTTTCTTTCATGGCCATAGAAGTACAACTACAGATTAATCAAGGAACTTGCTACAGTATGCCAGGGCAACCGGCCCCTTTTAGTGGAGGGCTACGGTGGATCATCACACAATGATATGCCCCCACCTAGCAGAAAAAGATTTTTAGAGTCTTCAGTGCCCAGGAAAATGCAAGCCAGGCATTTTAGAACATATCCAATTTAGTGTGGAGGCCCCCCTAACCAAAGCAGACTGCAAAGCATGTTTCTTTCATTTCCAAGCTCAAACATGCGTTGAAATAGAACTACTTACAACTGTGTCATTGTACAGCTGTTGCTTAAAAGCACTTTATCCATGTGATCATTTTGATGCCTTGATACATGTCACATTTAGGTTGTACTGGAGCAAGGCTACTAGAATGTTTGCACAGTACATCAGACTGCAAAAAGAAGAAACTGTGAGGTAACTGCGCTAGAAAATATTTCAATAACAAACAATCACAATATTTATACAAAAATGTGTACAAAAAATCATATAAATGCACAAGGCAGTTGAAAATGGTGTGTCGATGGTCTCCGGAATGTTCTATCGTTTTGATACTATTCTTATACAAGCATTTTGCCCTAGGAACATTCTTTCAGAGAATTTCTTGCAACTAAGTTATGATACATCGGTGATTATTAATGAAATTTTTGATACCTACTTGTTGAAATGACAGACCAAGAGTTGCTGCTTTCATCCACGTTTGGAAGAAGAATAGTATCGAAACGATAGAACATTCCGGAGACCATCGTCACACAATTTTCAACTGCCTTGTGCATTTATATGATTTTTTGTACACATTTTTGTATAAATATTGTGATTGTTATTGAAATATTTTCTAGCGCAGTTACCTCAGTTTCTTCTTTTTGCGGTCTGTTCTGTGACTGTGACCATCATTTTTGAGCCACTGCACAGTACATCAGACAAGAAGCCTTTCAGGAGAAAACAACTGAATGCTGCCAAGAAGTGCTTGAAAAGAGGATTCTTGACTTTAGGCAGTTTTCAGTCCATTTCTAATCAGGTGTTAGCTTCGCTGCTTCATTGTTGCTTGCCCTTGAGTTCTGCATGTAAAGGTACTTGTAGGAGAACTTGCCATATCTGCTCCATTAGCGGGCTTAGACCTCCTGTTTCTTTAGAGTAATGCTGTGTACAGAATTAGATCATTGTTGTGTCAGATTCAGTGTTGTTTGACTGGCAGCAGCTCTCGGATGGAAATCTGTTGTGTTGCCTCCTACCTTATTCTTTTAGCCAGATATACTAGGCAGAGTAACTAGTAGAACATCTTACATGCAAAGCAGATGCTTTACCACTGAACCATAGCCCCCAAGCCATTGAGATGGGAGATATGATTTTTTAGGCAGTGTTTATAGTAGTTTAAGTAAGTAAAACAGCAGCTGCTTTGAATAAGCAAGAATGGTTGGGTTAGCAGGTGATGGGAGATCACATGCATCCACATCAATGAAAGACAACACAGCTGTAGCTACCTTCTCTCGGAGACATGCATGATTTTTGGGTATTGTTACTTGACAACTCTCTGCTGAGTGCAAGTCATTCACCGAAGGATCCCCAGTAAACAGCACTTGGGACAGGAGAGCAAATCTTATGGACAAGTAGCTAATTAAAGAAAAAAGTCATTGGTTTATTACTATTCTTTTTGCCAAGGTGAATCCCAGAAGCTCCAGCGTTAGCCTTTTAGGGCTCAGATCTCCAGGCGGAAGGGAAAGAGAAGCATGAATCTGTGTTACTTACACTTATAGTTCAATAGCTCCGACACTATGAATTCATACCGTCTTTTTGAATAAATCCAATAGTACCAGGTCCTGTAAGGGACCCCTCTTTACTTGTTTCTCTCTCTGCTAGTGGTGCTTGCTTGCACTACAGCAAGGTGGGGGATGGTTCTGGCTGGTTCAGCTCTTCAGAAGTCTTGAGGGTTGCTGGGAAAGATCCCCATTAGTAAGTGCCTTCTGCCTGCACTTGGGCTTCCATTGATAAGACAGGGCAGATCAGTGATATGGGGGAGAATGGAGAAGGAGAATAAGGACTCAATGGAAGTGCTAATGTTAAGTGCAGCTGCAGAGAAAAGAGAAATTTTAGGAAAGGGATTGAAAATAAAACAGTACCCTAATGCCTTGATAAGAATTTGTCACTGCTGCGTTTGGAATACTGAGAGCAACCATCACTGTACTATTGTAAAAAGTGTTCTAGAACAAAAAATGTCCAGAATCTGAGAAGTCTGAGCACTTCCAAGGAAATGTTAACCCATTTCAAGCATGCTAAAGTGTTTAGAGAGTCAACAGGATCAGTGAAGTCACCCCCCCCCCATTGTAGCTGCAACAGCTAAGGATACCTTTTACTGTATATTTAGGCCAAACTTTTTATTATGTACAATATCCTACCACTAAAGTTTTATTAAAGTTTAACAGGAATCCATTCAGCACAAGGTCTCCTGAAGGTGGTAGTAACTTCTTCCACTCTACAGTTATGTCTTTGTAGTATTGCCATTTCCTACAGGAGATGGCAGCCACCACCTGGCTGCCTCTTGAGACTCCTGTGTTGGAACATCCCAGGATGCCTGTTGAGGTCCCCCTTCCACAACAGGGCTTTCCTGCATGGGAGAGAGCTGTGGCGACCTTCTGGCAGCCCCACAGCTCCTACTGAAGGCCTGTTCCTCAGTGGGCAGGTCACCATCCCACTAGTAGGAATTCTGGCTCACTTTTGGCTATCCCTATCAAGTTGTGGCACTGCTACCCACCCCCCTCCCTTTTCTATATTGTATTAAAAAATAGAGTACTACAATGGAACAACTTTATAGGCATTACTATTATACTGTAATAGACATATCAACAAAAGTTTTTATCTGATCCTTTTCTAGTACAGGGAAGAAATTTAGATTTTCCTATTTAGACAATAAATTCAACCTACCATTCTTCTAAAAGGTGATAATCCTATTTAAAATTACTCTTTTCCTATCTAAATAAAATCTGGCAAAATTAGGCATTGTTTAACAAGCCAGTAACTTTTTCCTAAGGGCCAGTATTCCCTTAAGGGGATCGATTATGGCTTCATTCCTCTTAACAGCAATGCATGTTGTAGTAAAAAACAGGAATCTGGCACCATGTTAAAGACTAAATTTTACTCCACTGTAAGCTTTTTCATGGCCTAGATCTCATTGCATCTTAAATGGGCATTAATCCACAGAAACTTTTGTTGGAATAAAGAAGTTAGTCTTTCAGGCCCCACTAGCCTGTTAATTCCTTTTAACAGAGAACTTGCCAAGCAGTCATTAAACTAGTAACTTCTAAAAGAATAAAACCTCCCCGTTTTTGGTCAGCTAAATGTTCCCATGCCACTAACAAGATACAATACAATTTACCTGGAATCACTGCAGTTTTGCTAGGAACAGCCTGGTCATTTTTTTTGCTACTTCAGCTAAGTGCAGCAGGGTTACTAAGCTGGGGGGATCTTCAGACCAGTCAAGCTTGTATCATTTAAGCTTTGGAATTCTATATCTCAACTCAATCCACAGATGGAAGAGTGATGCAGATTGGAACACCTGCACCAATTATTGTAAGAGTAACAGTTTGTTGATACTGGCACATCTTTATTGCTGTATCAGGTTTGGCGGATGAGGACTTTCCACCTGCTTTAGAGTTCTTGTATAGGTACAGAAACCAAGTTACAAAACTGAACACACACAACCAGTCCAATCAGAAGCAAACTCACAACACACTTCGGAATATCTGTGATAAAAATATATGTTCTAAAGGAACTGGGACTTCCTGGGTGGTAGGACTGGGCTGCTGATCCTGTTCCACTGCCATGTAACATATGATGTGCCCATGGGGCCAGCAGGGTAAAACACTCCAATTCTTCCTGCCTGCTGAAGGATGAATGCTACACAGGCAGCTACCGTGGTTTTGTGGCAAGCTGTTCAGTTCTCAAGAGTCACTCTTTGTGTAGTGTTTGATGAAGGTGAAGATACAGTGGCTTCTTGGTCAACAACTGAAGTTTCTTCCTTTTGAAGTCAGTGGGTTTTTTGTACCTGTAACCAAAGAGAACAGGGACAACTGTCTTGTCACAGTTTAACTTAAGATTTAGAACCCTACACTATTACTAAGAAAATGCCTTAATGCGCAGCAGAATGTTAAAATGTATAAAAACACACTGATACCAGCAATGGGTCATATCTTCTGCCATCTGGTCTGTTTAATACCTGTGTATTTAAATATTTGAGAAAAACAGGTTGCTTACCTGTAATTGATGATCTTCGAGTGGTCATCTGTGCAGTCACACCCATGGGATTATGCGCCTGCGCTGATCCGAATCAGTGGTATGCAAAGCTCACAAAGGGATTTTCGCGCCTCTCTCCCAGGCATATGTGGGAACCCCACTGCGTATGCCCAAGGAGGAGGGGCGGGACATCCCGCCAGTTCCTTCTGACCACTGTCATGTCAGTAACAGAAGAAAAGCACTGAAGCGACAGCAGTGGGGAAGTTTGGGCAGGTGGTGTGACTGTACAGATGACCACTCGAAGATAATCAGTTACAGGTAAGCAACCTGTTTATCATCTTCCTGGTCTCTGTGCATCACACCCATGGGAAATTGAAAAGCAGTGGCTCACCTAGAAGTGGGAGCTGTCACAAATTCAATGATCTGCCGATGAAAGGACTAGATGACCAAGGTCCACTCTGTGGCGTTCACGAACATAAACAGCGTAGTGCTTGATGAAGGTGTTCGGAGTAGACCATATCGCAGCCCCACAGATCGCCGACAGGGAAGCACCCCTCAAGAAGGGTGTGGATGTAGCCACGGATATTGTGGAGTGTGCTCGCAAAGGTAATGGCCGCTTAGCCAGCAGGTAGCACAGTTTAAATGGTGGAGCTGCGGTGGCTCAAGTGGTTAAGACGCTGAACTGCAAGCTGTGGAAGGTCAGTAGTTCAGCAGTTCAAGACCCGGGTGCCGCAAGACGGGGTGAGCTCCCGTCTCTCGTTCCAGCTCCTGCCAACCTAGCAGTTCGAAAGCAAGAAATTGCAAGTAGATAAATAGGGACCACTTCGGTGGGAAGGTAACAGCGTTCCGTGCGCCTTGGTGTTTAGTCATGCCGGCCACATGACCACGGAAACGTCTTCGGACAGCGCTGGCTCTTCGGCTTTGAAACGGAGATGAGCACCGCAACCCTAGAGTCGGATTCGA